GAAATGCATTTTAGCATTCAGGTAATTAGATCATAGCAGACTCATGTTACACCCTTTGAAAAAAAAATCAAAGTCTTTGACACTTTTGCTACGATTAAATAAATAACTTAAAATAAAAGGTACAGATTATGAGTATATTTATGCCGTAAAAATGTGTATTATTTGTGACTGTAAATGAGGATTCATTTATTTTAACGAAGCCGAAAACGGAAATAAACGCAAAAGAGCCAAAGAATAAAAAAGAAAAAGAAAGAGAAATGTAAAAGAAGATCTGAATCGCCATCATGGATCTTCGATTACTTAATTCTCCTAATAGAGAGCGTTTCACAATTTCTGAAACAAAATGATCGGGCACAAATCAAGGACCATAAATGATAGAGTAATGAAAATTACATTTATTGAAAGCTAAAAGGCTAACATTTTAGGATCTGCAATCATTTAGTCTCAAACACGAACCAAAAATGTCAAAAGGAGCAATAGCATACATGCACCTGATGTTGGCCATTCAATTGAAGGCACTATTGAATGCCACAAGCAAAGTTGTTGATAACTCGTGCGCATTCCTCCTGGTGAGGAACACGTTGCCCTATTATCTTCACAAGTACCATAAGCTTCAAAGTTCTTGACCAACTTGATAATCTGACTCCCGTTTAGAAATGTGTTGAAATTGAACATCCTTCTGTATCTTACTTGAACAATCTTGAAAGACTTAGTTTCGTAATTATGCCTTCACACAAAAGATCTTCAGCTCCATCGCCCAAAGGACGATTTCTCTATACTTGGTTGAATAGATTGAAATGTTAACTATTTCCTAGCAATAATCTGAAAAGAGAAAGGGAATAAAGTCAACAGGAAAGATCTGAGATCTGAGGTGCCGATACTTCGTTTCAACATTTGCGAAACACACGGTACTTTCTCATATTACTATTCATCAATAACTAAACCATGCACAACAAAGTAATCACACACACACACACACACACACACACACACACACACACACACACACACACACACACACACACAGGTTTTGATCATTACCAGTAAAACGTTATCAGTAAAGATTTAAGCATTTTTTCCACTGCATTTCTATTTAAAGATGTAATACAATACTTATCATTTCACCAACAGCCGTCACGCATAAACAAATCCAAGACCATATTTATTTCTCTTTTCTCACCTCGGAGTGATACTTACTTGATACGTTGTCGATAACTGGGTATCTTTACTTTTTTCTTCTATCGAATTCCCAAGAAACGGATGATCGCTAAGTTGAAGAGGTCGACCTATTCGTGTGGATGTTTATATAACCTGGTCACATTTTAAAATCAATTTTGGTTAATTTATTTCTTTTGATAGTATAACTAAAAGCTATATATGCTGTTTAAGAGAGGTTATGTCGAAATTTAA